TGCCTTAAATTCACTTAGTGACCTGGCCTCCACAGCCCTCTGTGGTAATGAGTTCCATAGATTCATGACTCTCTCACTGAAGAAATTCATCCTCATCTCAGTTCTAAAGGGTTATGCCTTCACTCTGAGGCTGTGTCTTCAGGTCCTAATCTCTCCTACTTACGGAAATGTCTTCTCCGCGTTGATTCTATCCAGGCCTCTCAGTATTCTGTAAGTTTCAATGAAATCCCCCCTCCCCCATCCTTCTAAACTTCCATCCTGTACAGATCCAGAGCCCTCAACTGCTATGACAAGCCCTTCATACCCAAAACCATTCTTGTAAACCTCCTCTGGCCCGCCTCCAAGACCAGCACGTCCTTCCTTGGTACAGGGCCCAAAACTTCTCTCAATTTTCCAGATGCGGTCTGACCAGAGATTTATGCAACCTCAGCAGTAAATCTCTGCCTTTGTATTCTACCCCTCTTAAAATGAATGCCAACATTGCATTTACCTTCCTAATTGCCAACTAAATGTGTATGTTAACCCTAAGAGAATCTTAAACTGGGACTCCTGAGTCACTTTGTGCTTCAGATTTCTGAAATCTTTCCCCATTTAGAAAATCTCTATTTTTCCTGCCGGTTTGCATAAACTCACATTAACCTCACTCTAGCCTGTCTAAGTCCTCCTGCAGCCTCCCCACTTCCTTAATACTACCTGTCCCTCCACCTTTCTTTGTGCCATCTACAAACTTGGCAATAATGCCCTCAGTTCCGTCATCCAGATCGTTAATGTATAATGTGAATAGATGTGGTCTCAACACGATCCCTGCCGAACTCCACTAGTCACTGGCTGCCATCCTGGAGAGAAGTGAAATGTAGATATATAATGTCAATGAACATCTGGCTAAGAATTATTTTGCATGGACTTTCAACTTATGAAACGTCATAAGTTCTGGCCCATTTTTTCTCAGCTTGCCCAGGTATTCATCTTTGGAGACTTGTGTCATGTACCCGGCATGTATCCCTGTGACTTTAGCAGCAATATATTTCCCAGTAATCACTGATTCATGAACTAATGATTTTAAATTTTGTCTCAAATTTTAGTTTGCATTTATTCAAAATTGTCTTTTGGCAGATGAAATCATTAAAAAGTAATTAGCAGGAGCTGTTAGAACAATTAGTTATCAATTCATTAAAAATCTAACTACAAATTGTTCCATGCTGAATTGTGAACGCTGCAATGGTTAATTCCTCTTGGATGACTGTCATTGCTTATTAGATGTACACTGACAGCAACCAACCTGGTATCTCATGCCAAAAACTGGACAAAAGCAAAATTAGACTGCCATGTATAAATCAAAACACTGTCCATTATGGGTAATAACAAATACCAGAAACTTTTTAGGGCTGTAATCTAATATATGAGTTTACATAGTAGTTGTGAAGTGCTCGAGATTTAAATTTGTGGTTTACAACTTCATTGGAGTCGTGCCTTACAATCAGTCTCATTGCTCTCCACATAGCATTGCATAAAATTCCAATTGTTTAATAATATCAAAATGCCTGCTTGTCATAAATGTTATTGATGTTTGGTGTTGGATGAAACCATGTGCCGTTTGTCAGAGCTGAGGTCATTGGAGGGTGTTACTTCACACATTGAAGCCAAACACACCAACAAATTTCAATTAAAAGCAACATTTGGTTTACTCAGAAATAGATCCAAAAGTAAACATGAGCTATTTGCCACATTCTTGACATCTTATTGTAAATATTACATATTAAAACATAAGCATAACTCTGCCCTCTTAAACACAGCATGCTTCATATTTTATATAAACCACAGAATTTACAAAGTCTAAGCCAATCCTCTACACTCAGGTCAGCTCAACATTTTTATCCAATGAGTGGCTGAACCATATGGTCCAGAAAGATCCCGGAGGCCACAACTTTTGATTTTAATCATGGCAAGAAGTACTACAATAACACTCAGTGCTGCTAGGATAAGTAGGGGTAAAATTCACCAGCTGCTGATTGACAAGCATTACTTTCCCGAATGTGTTTCTGTGTGGTTCAGTGAAGACAGAACCCAAGAGTTAGGAGTGAGAATCAGCTATTCATGCTTTTGAGCTTACTGTACCATTTGATAAACTCATAACAGTATATGACTGTGGTCTCAGCTCTACTTTTCTGCCTTTCTCCGATAACCTTTCAGATCCTTGTTGATCTAAATCCATCTAATTCAGTCTTGAATGTGTTCAACGACTCCACCTCCACTGCTCTCTAGAAAAGAGAATTCCATAGACCAAGATAGCACAATGTGGAGCTGGAGGAACACAGCAGGTCAGGCAGCATCAGAGGAGCAGGAAAGCTGACATTTCGGGTCAGGATCCTTGTTCAGAAATTTCTGAAGTAGGGTCCCGACCAGAAACGTCAACTTTCCTGCTCTTCTGATGCTGCCTGGTCTGCTGTGTTCCGCCAGTTCCACATTGTGTTATCTCTGACTCCAGCATTGGCAGTTCTTACTATCTCATTCCATAGACCAATGTCCCTCTGCGACAAACGAAAAAACATCACCTCAGTCTTAAGTAGGAGACCTCTAATATTTTTAAATGTATTCCCTAGTTCTAGAAACTTACCCCTCCCCCAACAACAACAAGGGGAATCATCCTCTCAGCATCCGCCCTGTGAAGTCCCCTTAGGATTTCAGATGTGTCAATAGGTAATCTCTTACTCTAATAAACTCCAATGGGTATACACCCAACTTGCTTAAAGCAGGATTCAGTCAATTGAACCTTCTCTGCACTGTTTCAACTAAATTATATTGCTTTCTAAGTAAGGAGATTAAAATTATTAACACAGAGGGGTTTGGCATTCATAATTCACCAATACTCACTGTCAAAAGTTATCATATCGGAAGTGTTCTCCTGGAAAATATTACTATTATGAAACACTGTGGAGCCTATACACAATGTCCTTTATCATAATATATATATTAATACATATGTAGATACAGTAGTATACATTGAATATGATATCCTTTTGCTTTTTTCAATGGTATGCTAATAAACTGAAATTTTAATGAAATAAATGGAGAGTAGTAGTGGCCTGCAGATATCTCGAGAAGATGTTTGTCTGGTATTTCTTCAATTCTAGTGAGTAAGGTCATGCATAGTTTTGTGTCCACAACAGGATGAGGCTTCATCAACTAGACGTTTGTCAGAACTTTCTCATGATAACTCCTTGAAACCTCAGGGGAAACCCAAGTTAAGTGACATTAGCACCACGGTTGTTACAGTCTCTACAGCACATGATTGGGAGAAGCCTCAAGGAAATTTCACAGGAACATAGGAACAGGAATAGGCCATCCAGTACTTGAGTTTGTTTCACCATTCAATTATATCATGTCTGATCTGTGGCCTAATGCCATATAGCTGCCTTTGGTTCCTAACCCTTAATATCTTTGCTTAACAAATATGTATCTATCTTGGATGTAAAATTAACTACCAATCCACAACCCACTGCTGTTTGTGGAAGAGAGTTCCGAACCTCTACCACCATTTGTGTCTAGAAGTGCTTCCTAGCATCTCTCCAGAATGTTCTCACCCTAATTCTCTGGCTATGTCCCCTAGCTCTGGAATTCCCAACCAGTGGAAATGGTTTATCTTTACCTACCCTGTGTTTTCTTATTAATATCTTGAAGACTTTGATCAGATCACCCTTGGACCTTCTAAACTCGAGAGAAAACAGGCCTAATTTGTATAATGTTTCCTCATAACTTAACCCCTGAAGTCCAGATATCCTTCTTGTAAACCAATGTAGTACTCCCTCCAAGACTGATTTCTCCGTCCTAAGATGTGGTGCCCAGATCTGCTCACAGTACTCCAAATGGGGTCTAACTAGGATTTTTTATAACTGCAGCATTACTTTTGCATTCTTGTACTCCAGACCTCTTGATATAAAGGCTTGCATTCCATTTGCTTTCTTGACTGTTTTCTGCACCTGTTTAAATTAGGTAAACACCACAACTCATGGACATCTACATGACATTATAAACTGGTTTGATTGGCTCTCCAAGATTCAGTTTTTCTCTCTCCAAGTTACAGTTTGGAAGCTGCATCTCACATTATAATCACGATAAGTGTAACTTCTAAGGCCTATGAATTTCCTGAAAATCCCTGAGGTCACAGTGCATTCTAGTGCAATTGCTTAGTTTCAGGGAGGTGGGGTTTTAATTTGGGGAAACAGGTAAAATGAGATTGGTAACTTAGTTAAGGCTGATTTAGAAGGAGTTAAAAGTGTAGAAGAGCTTCTGAATTAATTCATAAGCACGAAGCCCCTCACAATAGGGTTAGAGAAGAAGAACAATAACTTTTGTCATTCCCGGGTGCTAGGCTCCACATTAGAATTGACATCAGTGCCCAACTCAACATCAGCATTAGCATATGAATCTGTGGTAGCACATAACTAACCTGTCTGTTAGATAGATTCAAAAAGCATGTAATGCATGTTTGTCCAGCAAGTCATTTTGATAAACTAGTTTATATTGTGGCTGATCAGCAGTAAAAATATTTTAGCAATGAATATGATGAGAAGCTTAAATTTGTTTTCGTTGGAGCATCAAAACAATAAATACTGCAATTTCAAAAACAAACTACTTTCTCAAACCTGTTCTTTCCTTATTGGTTTCCTTGTGTCACTCCATTTCTAATTAGAGTTTCAATCCCATAGTCACAGAAGGTAGTGTAGGATCTCGTTTACACTCATTTCTCTTCAATCTTCTGTTTTTATGTGTGAAGAATTATGTCTTTACTTTGTTCTTCCTCAAATGGATGGTCTAACTGAGATTAGTAATTCAACTTGCAAAGTACTGCCACTGTAAGACTGAACTCCCCCATAGCACTATAGTGTACTCTGCTACTTAACTGTTGACACTACTTGGTTAAATATAATTTGAACACTTTGTATAGTTGTATTGCAAATTAAAATTGTTTTGATCACCGAACATTTTCCACCAACAAACAGAAGCTGACATTTGATCTCACGGAGGTGCAGCAACAGAAGGCTGCGCTGGACAACAGGTTGAATCAAATGGAAGGACAACCATCTCTTGTCACCAGGTCAGCAGATGAGAGTTCATCGTTAGCTTCCAATCAGGCTCCGAATGCTCCAGCTACACCTCGAAAACCAATGGAAGCAGAACTGAAACAGCTGCAGAGTAAATTGAAGGTTAGAAGTTGTCACCCTGTATATATTTTCTTTACTATGAATTTTCAGCATGTTTTCTGATTTTGTCATTTTGATCAAAATGTTCGTTGATAATTATACCATGTTTAAATTTGATATTGGAAGCAAGCTACCACGGTAATACCCATTTCATATTTCTCACCCCTTAGGCTAGATAGATACTTCAGATTTGGTCTGTGATCTGGGATAGATAGTGTGCCTGAGATTGAAACAAGTATGAACCTAGCATATAGCAATGAAGGATTAAGAAAACCGAACCTGTCAGCCTGACATCAATCATTAAGTGCTTGAATCTAATAATAAGAACATCTTAATGCACTTTTTCATAAGCATACTTTATAATGGTACAAAGTCAATGTGATTTTATGACAGAGAAATCCTGCTTAACAAATCAATAAGTGTGTTTTTGTAGGATACAACCTGTAAGGGTAAATGAAGGGAAACAATCTGGTGAGGTATTCTTGGATTTCCAAAAGGCATTCCATAAGGTACCTCACAAAAACGTTAATATACAAGACAAGGGTTCACAGAGGAGGCGTGATATATTATCATGGATAGAGGATTGGTTAACGGACAGAAAACAGGGGAGGAATAAAAGGTATTCTCAAATTGGCTGGATGCCATGAGGAACAGTGCTGGGTTTTCAGCTGTTTACAACCTACATTAATGATGTTGATGAAGAGACAGTGTAAAGTATCCATATCACAGATGAGCAATCCATGAGCTACCCGAAACACTACACGTGTAGTGTCTCCCACCCGTGCTGCTCCTCTAACCAAAAAAGACCATGTGTAGGTTCGGTAAGGTAAGGCTTTTTTAATTCTTCTTCTGGAAATCTAGAGTAGAGGGAATGGAAGCTAGGACAGTTGCATGCTCCTCTTGCAGGATGTGGGAGGTAAGGGTCACTGCTGGTGTCCCCTCTGACTTCACCTGCGAGAAGTGCACCCAACTCCAGCTCCTCAAAAACCGTGTTAGGGAACTGGAGCTGGAGCTGGATGAACTCTGGATCATTTGGGAGGCTGAGGGGGTGATAGAGAGGAGTTACAGGGAGGTGGTCACACTCAAGGTACAGGAAAAAGGTAGCTGGGTGACTGTCAGGAAGGGGAAAGGGAATAGGCAGACAGTGCAGGGATCCCCTGTGGCTGTTAATAATAAGTATACTGTTTTGGATACTGTTGGGGGGACGACCTATCAGGGGAAGGCCATAGCGGACAGTTCTCTGGCACTGAGCCTGACCCTGTGGCAAAGAAGGGAAGGGGGGAGAATAGGAGAGCAATTATAGTGGGGCATTCAATAGTAGGAAGCACAGACAGGCGTTTCTGTGGACGCGAACGAGATGAAAGGATGCCTCCTGGGTGCCAGGGTCCATGATGTCTCAGATCGTGTCTCCAAGATCCTTAAGGGGGAGGGTGAGCAACCAGCAGTCATGGTACACATCGGTACCAATGACGTAGGTAGAAAAAGGACTGAGAATGTGAAAAACGAGTACAGGGAGTTAGGTTGGAAGCTGAAGTCCAGGACAAACAGGGTAGTTATTTCTGGATTACTACCAGTGCCACGTGATAACGAGATAAGAATCAGGGAGAGAGTGCAGCTAAACACGTGGCTACAGGGCTGCTGTAGGAGGGAGGGCTTTCATTATGTGGATAATCGGAGCACTTTCTGGGGAAGGTGGGACCTGTACAGTAAGGACGGGTTGCACCTGAACCGGAAGGGCACAACTATCCTGGGAGGGAGGTTGCTAGAGCTGTACAGGATGGTTTAAATTAGTTTGGCAGGGGGTGGGGAACCGGATTTATAATTCAGAGGATGAGATATTCAGCCTTCCAACAGACACAACAGGGAGTGAGGTGGTTTATAAAGAAATGTGGTCGATGGAGCGTAATTGTGGACACCGAGATGGTTTACTTCAATGCTGTTGAAGTAAAGCGGATGAACTTAGAGTGTGGGTCGGTACTTAGAACTACGATGTTGTGGCCATTACAGAAACTTCGGTAACTCAGGGAGAGGAACGGTTGTTGGAAGTTCCGGGATTTAGATGCTTTAAAAGAAATAGGTAGGGTGGTAAAAGAGGCGGGGGAGTGGCATTGCTAGTCAGGCCGAGTATAGCAGCTACTGAAAGGCAGTTCGAGAACGATATGTCTACAGAGTCAGTTTGGGTTGAGGTCAGGAACAAGAAAGGAGCAGTCACTTTGTTGGGTTTTTTTTACAGACCCCCTAATAGTTGCAGAGAAGTCGAGGAGTGGATTGGGAGGCAGATACTGGAAAGGTGCAGAAGTCACAGGGTTGTAGTCATAGGTGACTTCAACTTTCCAAATATTGATTGGAAACATTTTAGTTGTAATAGTTTAGATGGAGTAGATTTTGTCCAGTGCGTTCAGGAAGGATTCCTGATACAGTATGTAGATAGACCAACACGAGGAGAGGCCACTTTGGATTTGGTGCTTAGCAACGAACCGGGCCAAGTGTTAGACCTGTTGGTAGGAGAGCATTTTGGCGGTAGCGATCATAACTCTGTTTCTTTCACGATAGTCATGTATAAAGATAGGTACATACAGCAGGGTAAAGTTTATAATTGGGGGAAGGGTAATTACAATTCAGTTAGGCAAGAACTGGGTAACATAAATTGGGAACAGATGCTGTCAGGGAAGAGCACCACAGAAATGTGATGCTTACTGCATGTGCTCAATATGTTTGTCCCTAGCAGGCAGAGAAGATGTGGTTGAGTGAGGGAGCCATGGTTCTCGAGAGAGGTCGAACGACTGGTTAAGAGGAAGAAGGAGGCTGATGTAAGGTTTAGGAAAAGAGGAACGGAAAAGGCTCTAGAGGGATACAAGTTAGCCAGGAAGGAGCTGAAGAAATGGCTTAGGAGGGCTGTAAGGGGACATGAGAAACCTTGGCGGATAGGATCAAGGAAAACTCCAAGGCTTTTTACACATATGTGCAGAACAAGAGAATGACCAGAGAAAGGGTAGGGCCGATCAAGGATTGTAAAGGGAATTTGTGCACAGAGCCTAAAGAGATAGGAGAGGTCCTTAATGAATACTTTTCTTCAGTATTCACAACAGAGAGGGACCTAGCTGTAGAGGAGGACGTTGTGAAACAGGCAGGTAGGCTAGAGGAGGTTGATGTTAGTAAAGAAGATGTGCTAGGAATTCTGAGGAAGTTGAAGATAGATAAGTCCCCCGGGCCTGATGGGACTTATCCAAGGATTCTATGGGAAGCGAGGGACAAGATCGCAGGGCCTTCGGCGATGATCTTTTCGTCCTCACTGTCCACGGGTATAGTGCCGGAGGATTGGAAAGAGGCAAACGTCATTCCCTTGTTCAAAAAAGGCAACAGGGATAACCCCGGAAATTACAGGCCAGTTAGTCTTACGTCAGTGGTGGGCAAATTGTTGGAAAGGGCTCTGAGAGACAGGATTTATGATCACTTGGAAAGGCACAGTTTGATTCGTGATAGTCAGCATGGATTTGTGAGGGGTAGATCATGCCTCACAAACCTTATTGAATTCTTTGAAGAGGTGACCAAACACGTGGATGAAGGTGGAGCAGTGGATGTGGCATACATGGATTTAAGTAAGGTGTTTGATAAGGTTCCCCATGGTAAGCACATGCAGAAGGTAAGGAGGCATGAGATAGGGGGAAATGTGGCAGATTGGATTCAGAATTGGCTGACCCTTAGAAGACAAAGGGTGGTAGTGGATGGAAAATATTCAACATGGTGCTCAGTTACAAGTGGTGTACCACAAGGATCTGTTCTGGGTCCTCTTCTATTTGTGATTTTTGTAAATGATTTGGATGAAGGAGTGGAAGGGTGGACTAGTAAGTTTGCGGACGATACGAAGGTGCGTCACGTTGTGGACAGTGCAGAGGGCTGTTCTAGGTTACAAAAGGACATTGATAGAATGCAGAGCTGGGCTGAGAAGTGGCAGATGGAGTTTAACCCTGAAAAGTGTGAGATGATTCATTTTGGAAAGACAAACTTGAAAGCTGAATACAGGATTAACGGAAAGATTCTTGACAGTGTGGAGGAGCAGAGGGATCTTGGGGTTCATGTTCACAGTTCCCTGAGAGCTGCTACCCAGGTGGATAGAGTTGTTAAGAAGGCGTATGGTGTGTTAGCTTTCATTAATAGAGGGATTGAGTTCAAGAGCCGTGAAGTTATGCTCCAGCTATACAAAAGCCTGGTTCGGCCACATCTGGAGTATTGTGTCCAGTTCTGGTCACCTCATTACAGGAAAGACGTGGAAGCGTTAGAAAAGGTGCAGAGGAGATTTACCAGGATGTTGCCTGGAATGGAGGGAAGGTCTTACAAGGAAAGGTTGAGAGAGCTAGGGCTTTTCTCTTTAGAACGACGAAGGATGACAGGTGACTTGATAGAGGTGTACAAAATGACCAGAGGTATAGATAGAGTTGACAGCCAGAGACTTTTTCCTAGAGTGGAGGTAGCTTTTACAAGGGGACATAGTTTTAAAGTAAAAGGAGGTAGATATCGGGGAGACGTCAGAGGTAGGTTCTTTACTCAGAGAGTGGTAGGGGCGTGGAATGCATTGCCGGAGAGGGTAGTGGAGTCGGCCTCATTAGGGGCATTTAAGCAGCTATTAGATAAGCATATGGATGATAGTATAAGGTAGCGGTGGAGGTTGGATAGACCTTAGGTTTAGGGTAAAAGTTCGGCACAACATCGTGGGCCGAAGGGCCTGTACTGTGCTGTACTGTTCTATGTTCTTGGATTCTGACTTTGCGTCTCAGAAATCACCCATTTTATGTATCTGTTCTGATCTTACCATCTTAGCTCTCATCAGAGTGTGAAATGACTGCTGTGATTGGAGGATCAACCAGCTACTTGCATAACAAATCTTAATGGACATACTCCCCTGCATCTCCCTCAATGAGATTGAAATGCAGTAATAAATAATTCATGTTATGGCTAAACAGGATCTTTGGTGAGACTATACCTGGAATACTGTGCAGTGTTGGTCTCCATATTTAAGAACAGCTATACTTGCATTGGAGACAATATAGCAAAGGTTCACAAGTTATTGAATATTCTGAGGAAATATCCTTGAATTGTACCGTCGCAGATAATGAAATCATAATTCAATTGAAAAACATCTGGAGTAAAGGGGGAAAATGTACATAATCTCATCCTCGCCACTCTACCTGCTGCAGATACATCTGTCCATGACTGTATTGGAAAGAGTGACCACCGCACAGTCCTTGTGGAGATGAAGGCCTGCCTTCACATTGATACCATCTTACAGTGTGCTGTGTGGCACTTTGAGTGCTAAATGAGACAGCCTTAAAATAGATCTAGCAACTCAGGACGGACATCGATGAGCCGCTGTGGACTATCAGCAGCAGCAAAATTGTACTCCAACTCAATCTGTAACCTCATGGCCTGGTAATTCTCCATTCTATCATTACCATCAAGCCAGGGGATCAATGAAGAGTGCAGCAGGGATTGTCAGGAGCAGCACTAGGCACGCCTAAAAATTAGGTGTCAACCTGGTGAAGCTACAAAACTACTATTGAGTGCCAAACAGCAAGGAATAGATAGAACTAAGTGATCCCAGAATCAGTGGATCAGATCCTAGCTTTGCAGTTCTGCCCCATCCGCTCGTGAATAGTTGTGGACAGTTAAACAACCACTGGAGGAGAAGGCTCCACAAATATCCCCACCCTCAGTGATGGAGGAGCCCAACACATCAGTGCAAGAGATGAGGCTGAACCACTCGCAACAACCTTGAGTCAGAAATGCCAAATGGATGATCCTCCTTGACCTTCTCCAGTGGTCACCTGCGTCACAGTTGCTGGCCTTTAGCCAATTTTATTCACTCCACGTCATGTCAAGAATTGATTGGAAGCACTGAATACTGCAATGGCTACGGGACCTGACAACATTCTGAAGACGTGCTCCAGAACATGGCGCTCCCCGAACTGTTCCTGTAGACCTACAACAGCATCTACCCGACGATGTGGAAAATCACACAAGTTTGTCCTGTACACACAAAACAGGTGAAATTCAGCCTGATTAATTACCGCCCCATCTATTCCAGAGCATCAGTAAATCTGGAGGAAGTCATGAACAATGCTATCAAGCCGCAACTGCTTATCAATAACCTGCTCACTGATGACCAGTTTGAGTCCTGCCAGGGCCACTCAGCTCCTGACCTCATTACAGCCCTGGCTAAAACATGAACAAAAGCACTGGATTCCAGAAGTAAGGTGAGTGTGTTGACCCTTGACATCAAGACTGTATTTGACTGAGTGTGGCATCAAGGAGTGCTAGTAAAACTAGAATCAGTGGGAAAACTCTCCGCTGGTTGGAGTCAAACCTGGCACATAGGAACATGGATTTGTTGGAGGTCAGTCATCCCAACTCTAGGATATCTCTGCAGGAGTTTGTCAGAGCAGTGCCCTAGGGCCAACCATCTTCATCTGCTTCATCAATGGCCTTCCTTCCATCATATGGTCAGAAGTGGACATGATTGCACAACTATTTGCAACAGATGTTAACAATATCCAGGCTTGGGCTGAAAAGTGGCAATTAACATTCATGCCACACTAAACGCCAGATAATCACCATTTCCAATAAGACACAATCTCACGACTACTCCTTGACGTTCAGTGACACTGCCATCACTGAATTCCCCACTATTAAGGTCCTGGGGATTACCATTGACTGGACTCACCTAGAGACTATGATTATTATAACAAACAGCTCCAAAGCCTGTCCACCCTCTATATGGCATAAGTCGTGTGACGGAATACTCCCCATTTGCCTTGATGAGCGCAGCTCCAACAATACTCAAAGCAGGTCGGTTGATTAGCGCCACATCCACAAATGTTCAGTCACTCCACTGCCGAAGCTCAGTGGTAGCAGTATGTACCATATACAGAAATTCATCAAAGATCCTTAGACCTTCCAAACGCACAGCCACTTTCATCTTGAAAGACAAAGACAGCAGATACATGGGAACACCGCCACCTGCAAGTTCCCCTTGAAGCCATTTCCCATACTGACTTGGAAATATATTGTCATTCCTTTACTGTGGATAGGTCAAAATCCTGGAATTCCCTTCCTGACAGCATTATGGGTCTACCTACAACAAATGGATTGCAGCGGTTCACCACCTTCTCAAGACCAACTAGGGAACGGCAATAAATGATGCCCCAGCCAGCAAGTGAATACAAAAAACCTAGCCTAATAGTAACCGTGTAACTAATGTCAATTGTAGTAAAAACACACAAGGTTCATTAATAATCTTTAGGGAAGGAAATCTGCCATCCATACCCAGTCTGACTAACATGTGACTTCAGGCTCACAGCAATATGGTTGACTCTTAAGTGACCTCTGGGCAATTGGGTATGGGCAATAAATGCTGGCTTAGGTAGCAATGCCCATACCCTATGAACGAATACTTTAAAAACTACCAGACAATTGTTTATTTACTTATGGACTTACATATCTTCTATCTACTTTAAGCAGCTCAGCCCGCTTATTACAGTTCTGCATTAGCATGGTGTATTTTCATAACACATCTCTCCCAAAAAAAATGCATGCAATAACTACCTGAGTGGCTGTAAATTGGGAGAGGGGAGTGTGCAGTGGGACCTGGGTGTCCTTGTGCACCAGTCGCTGGAGGTAAGCATGCAGGTGCAGCAGGCGGTAAAGAAAGGAAATGGTACGTTGGCCTTCATTGCGAGAGGTTTTGAGTACAGGAGCAGGGATGTGTTGTTGCAGTTGTACAGGGCCTTGATGAGACCACGCCTGGAATATTGTGTGCAGTTTTGGTTTGCTTTTCTGAGGAAGGATGCTCTTGCTCTTGAGGGAGTGTAGCAAAGGTTTACCAGGCTGATTCTGGGGATGGTGGATATGACGTATGAGGAGAGATTGACTAGGTTGGGATTGTTTTCGATGGAGTTCAGACGAATGAGGGGGGATCTCATGGAGACTTATAAAATTCTAACAGCTTTGGACAGGATAGATCTAGGGGAGATGTTCCCAATGGTGGGTGTGTCCAGAACCGGGGGTCACAATATGAGGATTCAGGGTAGAGAATTTAGGACAGAGATGAGGAGACATTTCTTCACCCAAAAAGTGGTGAGTCTATTGAATTCATTACCACAGGAAGCAGTTGATGCCAGAACATTGAATGTATTCAAGAGGTGACTAGATATAGCACTTGTGGTGAATGGGATCAAAGGTTACAGGGAGAAAGCAGGATTAGGCTTTTGAGTTGGACAAAGGGCCAAATGGCCTCCTCCTGCTCCTATCTTTTATGTTTCTATGTAACTTTCCAGTCTTTTAGCTGGATGCCAAATGATGTTGGTTGTCATTATGTATTTTGGCTATTGCTTTGCAGAAATTGGGCCTAAGTTGCAATCTCGAAACATGCTTGCTGGCCCTGTCTACCTCTTTCTCGTGAGCTCTATCGCTCACTCCCTGTCCATCTCTTTCATGCATTACCTGAGTCTAAAGTACATCTATCTTCCAGAAACTGTTCTGATTTCCATCACTTGTCCTCCAAGTTCCATGAATACTGCATACCATTTTTGGCGAAATTGAGTACAGAAATTGGCTGTTCAGCAAAACCTCTGTGTTAGTACGCATGAACAGTATCCTAAACTATGTGACTGTTGTGTTCTTGTCTTCCTGTATTCCCTTGTTGCAACCATCTATTGAATGTATTTTAAAATGTTGACATGCTTCAATCACTAGCACTGATGATTCCTCATCCCTTTGTCTAAAAATGTTTCTCCTACCATTTGTCTAAATCTCTTATATATGTCTCCATGTTCCAGATCCCTTGGAACTATTGGAAACAATTGTTTCTTTCTAATTTTGTCATACTTTCATAATTTTAAACAGCTTCTTTCAAATCGCACTGAAATGAAAAAAATCTCATGTACTTTGAGCAAGTGAAAAATAAGTAAATAAATTATAGAGTTCTCTTTTCTAGCTATACATGAATATAAAAGTTAAAAACAACATGGAACATGTCATGCTTTTCAGGTCTAAAAAAAATTACCATTGGAATAATTTGAAATAATGAAAATTGGATTTTTAAATCAAGCTTTTGTTTTCTTATCCGAATTAAATATTTGTTTTTCTGGTGCAGAATGCAACAAATGAGATTTCAAAGCATTTAGCTACCAACAAAACCCTAAAAGCTGACCAGCAAGAAAAGGATGAACAGATTCAGCAATTGCAGGAAAGGTAGGAATAGTTCTGCGGTTTGTTGTGTGTGGCGCAGCCTAGTGGTTGCCTTTCTTAAATAAACACCTCTGTTTAGATACAATGTATTCTAACTTACATTAACTTACAATAAAAGTATGTAATTTATAGCAGTAAAATTTAGAAATCATCTGTGTTATATCATTAATTTAAATATATTAAATGCAGAACAACAATTGGTTCATTCTTTGTCTTGGATACATATAATGAATATTTTTGAATTTAAAATACCATAATAATTACATTAGTAACATCCATTAATTTCATGAGCAGCTAAGAACACATGATTATTGGTAATGGATAGAAAAGCTAAACCTTCGGTGCCACTTTAAATTAACTAAATGCGAGTGTTGCTGGCAAGACCAGCATTTATTGCTGATCCCCAGTTGACCCTTGAGATACTGTAGTGAACTGCTTTTGTGAAAGGCACAGTGCTGTTAGATAGAGAGTTCCAGGATTTAAATACAATGATGATGAATGAAAGGCAACTGATATGCAACTTGGTGTGTGACTTGGATAGAAGATTGGGAACGATGATTTTCCCATGTATTTTCTGCCCTTTGAGTTGCGGCATAGCGTCCTTTGGTGGTACACACTGCAATCATAGTGTATCAGTGGTGGAGGGAGAAAATGTTTAAGAACATAAAAAATGGGAGCAAGGGTAGGCCTTTTGGCCCCTCAAGCCAACGTTGCTATTCAACAAGACTATGGCTCATCTGCCCCAGGCCTCAATTCCTCTTTTGTGCCAGTTCAGTGTAGCCATCGACTCCATGATATTTCAAAAATTGATCTGCATCTTTTTTAAATAGCCTCCTCAAGTCTGTAGTGTAGAGAATTCCAGATATTCACTATCTGCTGGAAAAAGAAATCCTTTTGTCCCACTATTGGTAACATCTCAACATCTACATCTTCAAGCTCCCTCAGAATCTTGTATGTTTCAATAAAGCCATCCTTCATTCTTCTAAACTCTCATAAATAAAATCTAACCTGATTAGCTTTTCTTGATAAGACAACCATTTCATCCTAGGAATCATACTAGTGAATCTCTTTTGTACAGCCTTCAGTGCCAACAAATCCTTTTATAAATACGGGGACCAAAACTATACAGTACACCAGGTGAAGCCTCACCAACACCCTGTACAATTCTAACAAGACTTCCCTGTTTTTAAGTTCTAACCCCTTAGCAATAAAGGCTAAAATTCTATTTGATTTCTTGGTTTGTTGTTTCACCTGCATGCTAACTTTTGTGTTTCATGCACAGGGACACGCAGATGCCTTCGTGCTGCACTTGTTTGGAGTTTTTGTCTATCTAAATAATAGTCTAGCATTTGATTCATCCCATCAAAGTTCATGACCTCACAATTTCCTGCATTCAACTCCATCTGACAAGTTTTTGCCTGCTTATTCAATCTATCAATATCCCCTTGAATATTCCTGATGTCCTCATTGCAGCATGTCCTCCCACCTATTTATGTCTTATCAGTAAATTTGCATACATTACACTCTGGCCCCGCCTCCAAATCATTAACATAGATAATAAATAATTGAAGCCCCAGGAACAATTTTTGTAAAACCCCACTAGTGGCAACTTTTCAATCTAAAAACTCTCATTTTTTACCAACTCCCTGTCTTCTATGTGTTAACCAGTCCTCAATCCATGCTAATATATTAACCACTCCCCCCACCCTAGTCTGTGAGTCCCAATCATGCACAAGAACTGTTTTATGTGGCACCTTGTAAAATACCTTGTGAAAATCCGAATACACTGCATCTACTGTTTCCCCTTTATTGATACTGCTTATTATATCCTTAAAGAATGCTAGCAAATTTATCAGACATAATTTCCCTTCCACAAAACCATCTTGACTGTGTTTGATGCATTAAACTTTTCAAAATGCCTTGCTAATTCTTCCTTAATTAATGGACTGTATTTTCTTAATTAGAAGTTATGTTAACTGGTCTATATTTTCCTGCTTTCTGTCTCTCTACCTTCTTGAACAGGGCATCACATTAGCAGTTTTCCAATCTACTGAAACCTTCTGGAATCAAATGAGTTCTGGAATATTTTAACTAATGCCTCCATCTGTATCTGCAGCCACCTTCTTGGGCACCCTTGGATGCAAGCCATCAGATCCTGGTCTGCCATCTGCACCATTAGTTTGTCAATTACTTTGTTCCTTGTGATAGAGACTGTTACAAAATTGTTCCTCCATTAGCCCTCACCTATCTATTATCTTTGGGATGTTTATACTGTCCTCCACCTTGAAGACTGATGCAAAATATTGGTTTAAGTTATCTATCATTTTCCTTTTTCCCATTATCAATTCCCCAGTTGCATCCTCAAATGGTCCCACACTCACTTTAACAGTTTCTTTCTTTTTATATATCCATAGAAGCTCTTGCTGTTTGTTTTTATATTTATTGCCAATTTACTTTAATAATTAATTCCCTCCTTCTTTATTAGCTTTTTAATCATTTGTTGCTAGTTCTTTAAAAATTCCTAATCCTCTTACCTACAACTAGTTTTTGCTGTTTTGTTTGGCTTAGTTTTTGATTGGATACTCTTAATGGAAGGTTAGAGGAGCCCACTAATGCTATCTATATTGTGCCGGCTCTGCCGTCAATGTATCTAACTGTCCCCGTGGATAGCTTGGTGGCTGCCATAGGCAGCAGATCCAGCAGAGCACCTATGGGCTGTCAGAAATGCAAGAAGATCTGCACTTCACTGCTTTAGTCATTGGTGTTCAACACCAACAGCGAGGCAGTGAGTGAGCCATGAACAAAGGAATTGAGTGCCGTGAAAAGCGAGCTAAGAAGCCAGTGACACACAGTTTTCAAATGCATGAGTTGGGTGTCTTTCCTTGCACACAAAGCAGCCTGGCAGCAATAAGGTACAGAGCTGATGGTCCAAAGGACCTCTTCTGTACTGTATGAGTCTATAAGGTGCTAGTGAGCTACAAAATGCAATTTTCAAGTTCTAAACTCTGTTAGGTATGCTATGATGATGTGGTGCTGATGCCATCTGTGGTTGGAGGGTACAGGTGGTCGCTGCTGACAGTACACTAAAATGTTGGGAAATGCTGGCCAAGCTGAAAGCCTGGAGAAGACATCAGGAAGCTGCAGCCACCAGATAATCACTCTGACTTTGACATTGTGAATTGGCGCCTTTTAGTTCCTCTCAACTATTTAGGATAATAGCAGCCTGCATGTAAATGAGGCAAGATTAGATAATAATAAGACATAATACATGCAAATAGGTGCCTCACTGTTCACTAGCAAGATTTTCATGTAACTGTTGAAACCTTAAGTGGACAATCAAACTATTTTTTTCTGAATGCCAAAAATCCCATTTTTCCTTAAACAAAAAAATCCAAAGAACTGCAGATGCTGGAAATCAGAAACAAAATCAGAAACTCACAGAAGAAGGGTCACTGGACCCGAAACATTAACTCAGCTTTCTCTCCACACAGACCACCAGACCTGCTGAGATTTTCCAGCAGTTTCTGATTTTGTTTCCCATTTTTCCTTTCTCACTTTAGTTTCCTTATTGTTTCGCTGTTGCCAACATCATTCAGGGTCCGTGGAAGTTCCACCTAGTGCATTTGTTCAATGGTGAGAAATTTTGAACTGTTGATTTCCAAAGAGACCTAGATGTCCTTGTTCACAAGCATTTGAAAGCTAACATGCAGGTGCAACAAGCCAATAGAAATGCAAATAGTATGTTGGACTTTACCTTGTACACAAATCCTTCAGCAATAAAGATTTCTTGCAGCAATTGGTTGAGACTGCGTTTAGAGTATTGTGCAGATTTGAATTTCTTGTATAGAGAAAGATACATTAGGCGCAGCAGGAGTGCAACTAAGGTTCCTCTGATACCATGTTTGTATTTCTGATGAGAGATTGATGAGACTAGACCAATATTCCCAAGAGATTTGCAAGAATGTGATATGATCTCAATGAAATGTGAAAAAATTCTTACTGGGATTAAAGGGTATGTGAAGGAAGGATGTTTCCTGTTGCTCGGGGGTCTGGAACTAGGGAACACAGTCTTAGAATAAGTGAAAGACTGTTTAGGATTAGAGATGAGGAGAAATTTCTTCAGCTAGAGGGTGGTGAATCTTTTGAATCTCTACCTCAGAGAGCTGTAGCGTCTCAGTCATTTAATGTGTTCAAAACAGAGATCGATATATATCTAGATATCAAAGGTATCAAAGATTTATGGGGTAGTCTGGGAAAGCGATATTGAAAGAAAAGATCAGCTATCATATAGCTGAATTGTGGACCTTGGTGCTGATTAACATCTTCTGTTCCTGCTCCTGTCTCCTATGGCAAGGACACAGAATGCACTCTGAGTGGGTGATTTCAATGCCCATCACTAAGAGGGGTTCAGCAGCTCTGCTACTGACCAAGCTGGTCAAGTCCTAAAGGTCACTGCTTATGGTTAAAGTCTTTGGGAGGTAGTAAGAAAACCAAAAAGAGGAATAATATTCTTGATTTCATTCCCATCAATCTGCCTGCCCCAAATACATTTTTCCATGACAGTATTAGTAAGAGGGACCACTATACAGCCCTTGTGGAGATGAAGTCACACTGAGAATAGCCTCCATCATGTTGTTGTGCCACTATAACCGTGATAAGTAGGACTGACTTCAAACAGATCTGGCAACTTAAGACTGCATATCAATGATATGCCCAGCATATCCCCCACTCTATTATTACCAATACGCAAGGAGATCAACACTCATTCATTGAAGTGCAGAAGGGATTGCCAGGAGCAGCCCAGGTGTACCTATAAATAAGATATCAAACCGGCGAAGCTACAAAACAGGACTACTTGCATACCAAACGGCATAAGCAGCAAGTGATACATGTGGCTAAGCAATTTTACAGCTCATGGATCGGATCAAAGTTTTGCAGTCCTTCCACATTCAATTGTAAATGGTTGTGGACAATTAAACAACTCACGAGAGGAGGAGATTCCA